TATATATATATATATTTTTTTTTTGACATGCATGGTGAATTTCATGAACAACATGCACATGCAAGCATTCTATAAAATTTATTTATTTTTTATTTTTTCATCATTCAATATAAATCTGTAATAATTCATATAATAATTATTATGAATTAAACATGCTACAAGAAGTTGTCATTCATTTTAAAATGACCAAATCATTTAATAAAACAGATAAATCATGAGTAAATTGTAGGGATAATATATCAAAATAATTATCAAAATTATCTAATGCATTTGACTATGAGGAATCAACAATATCATTGTAAGTTAGATTTATGAGTGCTCACCTTAACATTCACAACTAGTTTTAACGGCTATTGCAACGCCTAATTAACATAGAAAACATTTATATTAATAAATTTTAATCTTATTATTTAATAGTGCTTATTTAATTTTATTTTAAATTAAGTCTATTATTTTAATGAATGAATTTAATCTTTCATTTTAAGTTTACAAATGACTTTAATAAGACTATTAATATTACAACTTTTATCAAAAGTACTTAACTTAACTTCCATTAAATTTTTCTTTACTTTGTTTTCCTTATTTAGTGTAAATCTTATTTATTGAGTAAATTGCCAAAATAGTTCTTGACTATTTCAATTGATTCATTTTAGTCCCAGAGTCTATTAATGTGTCAAATTAGTCCTCATACTTTTTTAATTGGGGCTAAATTAGCCATTATTATAAGTGGGGACTAAATTGCCATTTTTCTAAACTCTGGGACTAAAATGGTCTGCAAAGAGTCAAGGGGTCATTGTGACGTTTTTCTCTTACTTAATTTAAATATGTGTATGGGTGCGCGCGTGCATCAATCATTATTAGTATTTACTTCCTAATAAATGTTTTATGATTTTTACTTTTAACTTTTCAACATTGAATACACTATGCATTTTTATTTTTGATTATATTAAAATGTTGTTATTTTATAATTTATGTATTGTATATTTCGATTCTTCTATATCTACAAATTTTGAACCTCTTGTCGTCTTCATGCATATGGTTTGGCATGTCACACTTGCTTGTGCTCTTGCCTGCTCCATCTTGCTCGCCTACATCGTGCTCAAGTATGCTAGATCGCAGCCCGAGCCCGCATCGCTACTTCATCCTCCACTCGTGATTTCCGCTCCCTCACTCACTCAGTTTTCTACTTGCGCACTCTTTCTCTCTTCTCCTCTCTTCGCCTCTTCTCTATTCTGTGCACAGGTTATGCCTAGATTCTCGTTTCCCCCCTTTGACTTTGCTCCCCCTATTAATAGTGAATTGACTAATGGCGGTTTGATTGAAGTGGCATTAGTAGGTTAAAATTTTCCTTCTTCTGTACGGCATTACAAGTAATGTGAAGCCTATATTTAAAAGAACACAATTAACTTTTTTTATTGAAGTTTGGCTATCAATTCTTGATTTTGTTCTTAACTCTTGGCAGTGATCCAGTGCGAAGTGGAAATGATTTCTTGTTTGAATGTGCTACAAACAATATCCTTAATTTTCTTATTTAAATTCGGTCTATTAATGTTCCTTATTCTGATATATAAAGAGACTTAATAAAGAGTTTTATGCATCATAGGATAAATCATTCAATTTATTGCAATTAGTTTCCTTATTTGTAATGTTCACACCATTACGTCACTAAAGGCATGGTTTTAAAATATTATGTTTCATTAAGTTTGGCTCTTTATGTAGTTTTGCCTTAAAATATCTTAAATTTTATTGTTTTTCCCAGTTTCAAGAGGCAAAAAGCGGAAGGGTCAATCTGGCACTGAGGTATATTCTTTCGTTCGCTTTAAATTTATTTTCCTAAGTGATGCAAATTTACTCTTTTGTGTGCAAAGTTCACTTTTTGTTATTCTTACTGTTTTTCTATTGACTAGCAATCAGAAATTTGTATTGATGGCTATCCATTGTGGTCCTTGTTCCATTAATAGCTTTTGCTATGCTTGGCATTAAGAGTCTGGCTATAATTAGTAAATTTTTTTGCTGTCTGATGCATGCATCATGATAATGTTTTCTATAAAACAGCTGTCTACATGTTTGTATGTTCTGGTTTTCGAGGTAGTTTGCCTTTCTATGACCGGGCATCTCTTAGTTTTGCTAATTTTAGTTTATTCATAAATTTTTATGCAATAAATTTGAGATTGTTAGCATTGCATTAATCACTAAGAAATTTTTTAAATGAAAATGTTTCCCTATTTATCGAGGTTGCTGAAATTTTCTGTTACGATTTAATCTTGACATTACTTAATATAATTCACTTTCCAAGTGTGATAGTTTTTCATTCATATTATTTTGACTAGATTATTATTTTATATTGCTTAATTCAACCTTGTTGTCGAATGGAATTCTATCTCTTATCTGGTTTTCATGCCCTTGCTTTTTTTTACCTGTAAATACTGCACATTAGGGTAACATACACTTCCGTTCTTAGGGCCATTGCTGCCTTTTGAGTTCAAAACAGTAGCTCAGTTTCCGCTGTAAAAAGCATAACTTATGGTGATGGAGGAATGTTTGTTAAATTATGTCACCAATCTAGGCTTGGAGGTTTTCTTTGATTTTGTGAGGATATCCTTCAGTTAAATTGTTGAGATAGCCATCTTTAAGGTTTTATGCTCTTCTTGACAAAGGCTGCGTAGTTTTGGTTACAGTTGATATTGAAGATGGCCTACATTACCAAACATTGTATTAAGTGTTCTTAATTGGATAGAGATCAATCTTTCAGGTTCAACCGATGACTAATAGTGTTTTCTTTTTTTTAAAATTCATTATGCTAACCTGATTACATTATTTGTTTTGGTACCCGTTAATTGTAGTAATCCATTACTTATGTTACAGCTTGGTTCCCTTGGTTGTTGTTGCCTTGGCACAAATTGAATTAATTGCGCCTTACGAGAATCCTTACTTATTTCAGTCTTTTATGTTTTAGTTTCTTCAGGGCTGTTTTTTTCTTGTCTTCAGTTTGTATGACTCCCTTACACTTGGTGATTATCGTAGGAGAAGAGCAGCGTGAGATCTGCTGAGAAACTCGCCATGCTGCAGTTTCCACCAACCCTGAAGAAGCAGCTAGTTGATGACTGGGAATTTGTAACTCAGTTGGGTAAGGTATTTTGTATCTTGTACCTTGCATTTGTTTATATAAATTTCTTAAGAAAAATACCCCGTCCCTTTACCTTTACTTCTTTTACGGTGAACATAATGGAAAAACATTTCAGTCACTTAATTTCTGTTTCTTAGATTTTTTTTTTGAAGTAATAAAGCTGTTGAAAAAAAAATATCTTTGTCTATATCATTTCTATAAACAATTCAACCATAATATTACTTTTTAACCCATATTTAGTGATGAAATACATAAAGAAGTAGAGAAAGTAAAAAATATATAAAAAAACTAATCAGAGTTTTTTTGGCATCCCATTTATATAAAATATGTGGGTTTATAGAAACATATCAATAGATCTTTCAAAAGGAAATAAAAACCAAAGTAAATTTTTTTGATGCATAAAATATGATGGGATTAATCCCCTACAAGACTGGCGGCCTTAGGTATCCATCGGAAAGAAATCTAAGGGCTCTAAAGGGTTTTAATTTAATGGTAAAAAATCGTAATTTGTGTGCACTTGGAGCTTTAAATTCTAGTGTGTAGGGTCCACGCCAAGGGCTAAGCCATATGTAGGAGTTGGACAATATATGCATGTTTTATGGCTTTGGACACTTATCTCAAAATGGATGATAATATAATCCTATCATTTCAAATTTCTTTAGAATATTTTTTTATCCTGATATTTGTGAATCTTTTGATAAATATGCCAACTAATTGTATTTTTGTTAGCACATGTGGATTGCAGATCAAATCACTCTCCAATTTTTTTCTTTATGAAGTGACTTTCAAGTGCCACATATTTGGTACAATCACGTTGTACTTGATCGTGTTAATACTGATGGTATACTTATTGTCAATGTATTTTTTCATTGATTTTTGAGAAACATATCACTCAATTCTTGTGTATTTACATATCTAACATTTAATATTATATATTTACATCTATAACATTTTGGTGTTATAAATCTATGCATGAAAGTGTGTATTTGACTTTTAAAAAGTTAATGATAGTGTTTTTTTTATATGATGTTAAAAATTTGAGTGTTTTTCATGTAAATGTGTAAGTTTAGGTGATATATATGTAAATATAGAAGAATTGTGTGGTATGTAAGTACACTTACATTTTCCCTTTGCCTTAAAACCATTTGTTTTGATCTTGATCCTTAGAAGCTTATAGATTCCTTATGCAATTGACTTCAATTTAGATTCAACACTAAATCTCGATACATTACATTGTTTCTTGCTACTCTAGTTATAAGATTTCATGTATGATCCATGTAGATTTTCCATAGAAATTAGGCCACAAAATATTTTTATTTCAGAAACACCAAACAACACAACACAAATATATAAAGATAAGACCCTACAGTTCTAGAGATAAGTGATCTCTCCCAAATTTTATAATTCGAGAGGTAGGAAATCTCTCCCAAACCCTAACTCTAAGATACAAGACCCAATCTCATTTATAACCCTAAACTAAGCATATTAGCTCTATTTATACTAAAAAATAATCAATAATACAAGACAAAATTGCTTTTAGGCTAGACATCTGTACAACAATACTCCCCTCCCAAACAGATACGTTATTCTCAATGTGGGAAAAACTTATGCTGGATCAAGTCGTGTGTGGTTCTCACGGATGTTCATCTGACAACCATTTTTATTTAATAAAAAATTCTTATTGACTTTTAGGAATTCAAAATGTCTTCTTGAGTACATCTTTAGACTACATCCGAATCTGATGTTCTGACTTTCTATCAATCTTGGTGAATGCTACAACCCCAAACAACTCTAATAGCTTATTGTCGGCCGTTTTATTGTTCAACTTCACTTTCGTAGTTTGAAAAGGTGATGATTTTGGGATTTTGAAAATAATTTAAATATAAATATAACTTTTTTTAAAGAAGTAACGTTTTTTAATTTTTAAAATAAGTGAGACCAAACGAGTCTCACATTTTCAAATAGTTTAGATGATTTAATACAATACTACAAACAATACACTTATCCCGAAGAATAAATGTATTATTTGTAATAGGGATTTAATCATCTAGACTAAACAATTTGTGACATCTGTTTTGATCTGCGAAATATTTTATGAAAAGGCCAACAAGTTCCCCTATCTAACATAAAAATTAGATAGGGTTTATTTTATCTGGGTTCCTGGTTCCCTATAGAGACAAGCCCCTATAGTTAATTACATCTTAAATGATCGAAATCACTTAAGATAACTCTCGATTAAGATCAGGTGGTTTTGCTTTCAAGATTTCAAAGTTTAGGTTTTCACGATTGGACATGGGAAAATCAAATGGAAATGGCTCAAAATAGGAACAATTATTTAAGGAATTCAAAGGGAAGAAAAGTAGGGGACATCACAGATCCAGGAGAAACCCCAGAGATGTCCCAACTATCCTATTGTTCGGCTTTATGTCTTTGAAATGATGTTTATTTGATATTTCAATCCTGCAAATTATTTAAGATTTAGGACTTATGTTTGCACAACATCGGACTGTGCAAATAGCCTAAAAGACAGAAGGATTTACACCGTACCGTACGGTAACCTCGGAATCCTAAAACGTTAGGACTTATAATTGTACAACAAAGTTGTACAAAAAGCCTAAAGAGTGATCCTATGGGTTGTTTAAATAAAAAAAAGTGTTAGGTGATGTGAATGTGTTTTGCTGCTGCAGATTCATCTTGAAGTTATCCCTTGCCGCGCTGCCCACGATGTTTGCCCCGAGCCTCTCGTAGTAGCACCTCCTGATTTAGTTTTAGTTTTGAACATGCTCTTAACCACTAGGTTATTCTAAACTAAGGCATAGCATATCAAAATAACTAAGCATGCAGTATGAAAGAACAATAACAATGTACTATATAGTAAAGAGAACTGACAATATAACATGCTGAAAGAAGAGCATTACGTGCTGCAGAGAGTAGTATAACACGTTATACAGGAAGAACAGTAACAAGTAGAAATAGAACAACTATAACATGCTGTACAGAAAGAACAGTAGCAGGTAGAAACAAAACAAGTATAACATGCTGTACAGAAAGAACAGTAGCAGATAGAAACAGAAAAATTAAATGTTGAAAAATGTAAAGCAAACCTGTACGCCTGTGAGATCCGCTTGTCCCTTAAGTATAGCAAACCTAAATGCATCTAAAAAAAAAACAAAGGCTGGAAGAAAACGTCATCCAGGAAATCCTAGGAAAAACGGAAAAACTCGAAAAAATCAACAAAAGAGACTCAAGTGAAAGAAAATCCTCAAAACTCCTGGGGAAATCCTGAAAGAAAAGAAAAGTAACACGAATGCTCCGTCCCAAAACTTCGATAAAACAAAAGAAGATTTCAAGTGAAGGGGACCGCAAGCACTCGTATGGGACTAGGCTCAGATATATTTATTCTCGAGGAATCCACGAAGGCTGCTCGGTCACCCGAATATATAGAACCCGCCACTCGTCTAGAAGTATGTCTTGAACCTCACTTAGAGGGCTATTTC